GGAGCAAAACCTGATGGGTTTTTTGCCATATGAATTAATAAGTGAGATTTGCTGTTTGGGAGTTTGTTGTGTTCCTGTGTTCTTCACTATTCTGCCCCTACACCATCCAAACACAGCCTGGATCATCTGAGCTGCTGGACAGGATGGGGGATGAGGGATTCCTCACTGACAGGAGCCAGTTTTTTTTTTCCAAAATCAACCTCTTTCACTGAAAAAAAGATGGATAAAAATGAAGAAAAAAAATGGGGGAAAAAAAAATGAAGAAAAATCCCATCTCTCTAAGTGATAACATTTATGTTGGTATGGAAATCATCATAGTTTCCTTTGATAGGAAAAGGAAGCAAAACCTGATGGTTCAAATTTCCACAATTGAATTTATGAGGGAGATTTGCTGTTTGGAAGTTTGTTGTGTTCCTGTTTTCTTCACTGCACCATCCAAACACAGCCTGGGTCATCTCTGAGCTGCTGGACAGGATGGGGGATGAGGGATTCCTCACTGACAGGTCCTGCAGTTTCACTGAAAGAGGCTGATTTTGGGAAAAAAAAGAAGAAAAATCCCATCTCTCTAACATGATAACATTTGTGTTTGCATGGAAATTATCACAGTTTCTTTTGATAGGAAAATGGAGCAAAACCTGATGGGTTTCTTGCCATATGAATTAATGAGGGATATTTGCTGTTTGGAAGTTTGTTGTGTTCCTGTGTTCTTCACTATTCTGCCCCCACACCATCCAAACACAGCCTGGATCATCTGAGCTGCTGGACAGGACGAGATCTGGAGGATCAAGGATTCCTCACTGACAGTTTCACTGAAAGAGGCTGATTTTGGAAAAATAAAAGCAGAAAAATCCCATCTCTCTAAAGTGATAACATTTGTATTCATGTGGAAATCATCACAGTTTCCTTTCACAAGCACATTTGGGCTACCATGAAGCTCCTTTGTGCCCTCTTTAGGATCAGACCCTTGGTAGGATCCTTTAAATCCTGTCAGAAGAGGAACACCCACAGGACAAACTCTAAATCTGGATTTTTTTCAGTAGATTATAAAGAAAAGAAATTAAAAAATAAAGAGGCAAGATTTTCATACAAACCCAAGGTGGCACAGTTCGGCTTTGTAAGGCAAGGGTGCTCCTGGTTTTCTTTGGAGAGGGCTCCACACATGTGGCTGATGCTGAAGGGAGGCAAGTGCAGCAAAATCAGAGAATATCCTGAATTGTAGGGGACCAATTAATGAGTGAGTGTCCCACACAGAGATCAGAGCCACAGCCCTGGTGTTCAGTTCAGATCCCAAACCAGCAGAACGATTTTGAGTTGTTCAGAGGCTCTGCAATGCCCTGTAACACCTCACATTCCCTGGTGGTGTGTTTTAATCCAAAATTAAAGAATCACCTGATTTTTTTTTTTTTGAATTATTGGATTGGATTTCATTGAATTGGATTACATTGAATTATCTCTGTCATTGGATTGCATTGAATTATCTCTGTCATTCCAAAGGAGCTCCTTGCCCAGGCACTGGGTGTCCAAAAGGAGGGACAGGGAGCTCAGGGCAAGGAGCAAAAGTGGGATTTGAGTGCTCTGATAACAGCCCTGTCCCTGTGCCCTCTTCTCCCAGATGGATTTACCCACTGGAGCCTCACAGGAACCCTTGTGGCTGATGAAGACGCCTTCATGGGGTTTAATGATGGACTCTCTCAATCAGGTAATGGGGAACCCGCAGGGCAGGGAAAAGGGAAGGGGCTGCCACAACCAGCCTGCATGTATTGCAGGGAATTGTTTATAAAATATAAGGTATTTTGAAATTGTCACTCAGTCAGGGAAGGGTTCAGGGAAAAGAGAGCTCAGAAAGGCTGGTAACGTGGTGCTGAAAGAATAAATGAGAGACAGAGCTCTCTCTGACAGGTTTTTCAGCCCCAGATTTCTCATCAGCTTTCAGTTTTATAGAGACAGAATCCCAAGTGGTTCTCACTCTTCTGTCAGGGAGTAATAATTCAAAATGGAAATCTGAGGGAATTCAAATAAATTAATTTTAGAGCTGTTTATCTATGTATTTTAAAATGAGCCTAAGGATTGTAGCACTGATTCTTCAGCTGATTTTTCTACACTTTGGCTGTCAAAGCCACAGAAACGGAATGATGCTGTGATTTTCAAGCCACTTAAAGCCATTGACTCTTTGGATTGATTTGGGTGCAGCAATGCTCAGGAGGGATCTGACTGGATATTGTATGAAAATCTCTGGGGCAGGACAACAGTGAGGGCAGCAGCAGAGTAGAACTGCAGTGGGAGAGGAATTACTCGTGAGATATAGTCAAGAAAAAGGAGTTTATTGTGTAAATATCTTCATTATTGGTTATCTATTGCCTGAAGGGAGGCTTTTGTTGAAAGCAGAGATATTTTAGGCAGGTGAAGCACCTTGGGTGCAAACATTTTTAACTTCCCTTTTCCTGTGTTTGCTTCTACAGCCTCTTAACTTTTTAGAATTATTTTTCATAAATATTATTATTATTTTTAATAAATATTCATAGAACTATCTCTAGACCTGGATTCTCACTTCTACGTGGTATTTTGATTTATTTTTTTTTTTAATTCACCCCTCTTTCAGTTGTTTCTGCAGAGGTGGAAATGACATCCTATGCCCTTCTGACCTACACACTCCTGGGAGACGTGGCCTCTGCACTCCCCGTGGTCAAGTGGCTCTCCCAGCAGAGGAATGCACTGGGAGGATTCTCCTCTACTCAGGTGGGCAGCCCCTGGAAAAGGTACCTGGGATGGATGCATTGGCAGTTGATTCAGGAATGTGGAGTTTCCATCTTCCTGACAGAAATTATTTGTGTTTTGGTAAGAAGGAAAACTTTCCAGGGCTCTTTGCTGTTTCCTCTTCATGCTGGTAATAAAAGGAACCCAGAGTTTGTCCTCACCTTTGATAGGAAAAGTGAGCAAAACCTGATTATTTCTTTTGCCATATGAATTAATAAGGGAGATTCTGCCAGCTGGAGCTGTTTGGAAGTTTGCTGTGCTCCTTTTTCACTATTCTGATTTCTCCCCCTTCTGGCCCCCAGGACACCTGTGTGGCCCTGCAGGCTCTGGCTGAATATGCCATCCTTTCTTATGTTGGAGGAGTCAACCTGACCATTTCCTTGGCTTCCACAAACCTGGACTACCAGGAGACCTTTGAGCTTAACAAGATGAATAAAAAAGTCCTTCAGACTGCAGTGGTAGGTGGCTCTGAGCAGGGAGGGTTTTAAAGCAATCAGGTTCTGAGTGAGGACTTGGATCAGGGATGGGAAAAGCAGAAGTTAAGCACTGTGGGACTTTCTGTGGGTTTGTGGCTGGATTCTGCTGGGAAGGAGGCAGCACTCCTAATTAAAGGCATTTTTCACCATAACCAATGCCTGATGTTGATTTTGTGCTGCTGTTTGTCTCTGCTGTTGTAAGTGCAGGTGGTGAAGAGACTCAGCCATGCTCACTTCACTTCTGCATGTCCTTTATAAAGGTATTTTGTAAAAAATAGAGCTAAATTTAATATTCATTTCCACTCTGAGTGCCTTGTCTTGTTTTGTGCATTCTCCCCAGATCCCCAGTATTCCAACAGGGCTGTTTGTGAGTGCCAAGGGTGAAGGATGCTGTCTGATGCAGGTGAGCTTGTCATGGGGCTGGAGAAGGCATGGCAGGAGATGATCTCTCACCTCACAGCCTGATTGCTGCTTTTCTAATCCCACTTTGCTGCGAGGAAGGACTTACTTGCACTTGGAATTTCTCTCCAAATAATTCTATAACTCTTGGTGCTGCTTTAATTTGGGAAGTGAATGTGGAGATGTCTATGTAAGCTCTGGTGGAGCTTAGGTAGAGACAGAACTGTGTGTTATTGTAACAATTCCCCCTGAATGGGGAATAATTAGCATTGACTCCATGACTCCAATAATTAGCATTGATTCCATGACTCCAATAATTAGCATTGACTCCATGATTGCAGAAGGCTAATCAATTGCTTTATTAAGCTATACTATATTATATTATACTATACTAGACTATTAAGGAACTCATAACCTTTACAGATTGTCTGATACAGTTTTAAGTTAATTGGTCAATCAATCCAAACATCATCCAGTGTCCAATTAAGAAATCACCTGATCAATTACTTTCCTAAGTTATACTATACTATTCTATACTATACTATTAAGGAACTCATAACCTTTACTGTCTGATACAGTTTTAACTTAATTGGTCAATCAATTCAAACACCATCCAGTGTCCAATTAAGAAATCACCCTTTGGTAAACAATCTCCATAACACATGTGCACAACAACAGGTGCAGCAAATGGAGATGAGAATTGTTTCTCATTTTCTTCTCTGAACTTTCTCACAGCTTCCCAGGAAAATCCTGGGAGGGAACGATGTCTCTGTTTGTTTTCAGAGGATATGTGATTGCCACATGTGATAAAACCTCTGTTGCCTCCCCTTCTGAGGAGATCTTGTGCCTGTGCTGGGTGTTTGTGGACACTTTTTTGTGTTGACATTACATTGGATTACTGTGACCGTGATCACAGGGGTCCAAGGATGAGGGAAGAGATGAGGATGTGACTCCATCTTTCAGAAGCCTTGATTTATTATTTTATTATATATATTATATTAAAACTGTACTAAAAGAATAGAAGAAAGCATTTCATCAGAAGGCTGGCTAAGAATAGGAAAAAAAGGAATGATAATAAAGGCTTGTGGCTCGGACAGAGAGTCCAAGCCAGCTGACTGTGATTGACCATTAATTAGAAATAACTCTGTGGGACCAATCACAAATCCACCTGCTGCATTCCACAGCAGCAGATAACTATTGTTTACATTTTGTTCCTGAGGCCTCCCAGCTTCTCAGGAGAAAAAATCCAAAATCCTAAGGAAAGGATTTCCCATAAAAGATGTCTGTGGCGGATTCCATTGGAGCTGTAATAACCCACCCTGCTTAGATTATTTTTTCCCACCTTTTCCCGCTGCAGATCGATGTCACTTACAACGTGCCTGATCCCATAGCCAAGCCAGCCTTCCAGCTGCTGGTGAACCTGAAGGAGCCCAAGGCAGAGCAGCCCCTGCCGGC